GGGACCTTCACTCCACAGTTGTAACATGGTCCCACTCTCTGGGGACCATCACCCCACAGTTGTAACATGGTCCCACTCTCTGGGGACCATCACCCCACAGTTGTAACATGGTCCTACTCTCGGGGGACCATCACCTCACAGTTGTAACATGGTCCCACTCTTTGGGGACCATCACCCCACAGTTGTAACATGGTCCCACTCTCGGGGGACCATCACCCCACAGTTGTAACATGGTCCTACTCTCGGGGGACCATCACCTCACAGTTGTAACATGGTCCCACTCTCGGGGGACCATCACCTCACAGTTGTAACATGGTCCCACTCTGGGGGGACCATCACCCCACAGTTGTAACATGGTCCCACTCTCGGGGGACCTTCACCCCACAGTTGTAACATGGTCCCACTCTCGGGGGACCTTCACCCCACAGTTGTAACATGGTCCTACTCTGGAGGGACATTCCCCCATTCACCTGGACCACACCTCCCTGGGTCTTCGCGTTCTGGGTCCTCATAGAACTCCCAGACACGTACTCCCTGGTCGAGCTTCCGGCACCATAGCTCGTACCTGTGTTGCTGTGAAGAGGCTTCCTCGCCGTCTCTAGAATGCTTACTTGGGCTTGGGTCATGCTACTTGAGTGATACGACTCCTCAGGACCATACCCACTCCTCACTTCCCCACGGCTCTTCCAAGAGCGGTCTCCCTCCTATTGGGTGGGACGCCTGGATTGACTCTTCCTCCGAGAGTTGAACACCTCCAACATGTCTACCCTGTCAGCCGCTGCCCGTAAGTCCATGATGCCTGCTTCCATAATCCTCAGTCGTGTTTCTGGATGGAGTAGACATGAACTTCGCCACTTCCATCAGCTGCTTCACGTCCTCGAAAGTCTCCACTTCTTCAGACTTCAACCACTTGAGGAACGTATGATCCAGCTCCCTGGATCTCTCTGCATAAGTCCTCCCAGGTGCTCGAGTGCACTCGCGAAACCTCTTGCGGTATGACTCGGGTGTCAGTTGGATGGAACACAAGACCACACTCTTTACTGCCTCGTAATTCAGGACACTCTTCTATGTCTAACATGTTCTAGGCCCTCCTGGCTTAACTTGTCAACTTACTCTGTACCAGTTCCGCCCAATCTTCTTCTGGCCAACTTTATAAAGTTGCGACCCTCTCAAAGTGGTTAAAGAATTTTTTCGCTTCCTGCAGCATAAATGCAGGTATATCGCGCTCACTAACATGGTGATTGTCCCATCGAACAGGCTGGTGCATCAAACCACGTTCGATGCGCATTATCTACACTGTGTAGTTCGACTCTAACTCCAATCTCTTCATTTCCTCTTGCTGTAGCTGGGCAGCATGCTTTAGTTCTTACCGCTGTAGTAGTAGCTATTCACGCCCCTCCCTCTGCAGCTGCACCTCACTCTCCCTTTCCTCTCGCTGCAGCTGGGCTTCCCGCTACTCTCGCTGCAGCTGGGGTTCACTCCCCTCTCGCTGCATTTGTCGTTCCTCCCACTGCGTCTCCAGCTTCATTCTCAACATCTCAAGCTTCACGCTCTTTCAACTTCCGCTTGAACTCCCACTGCTCCCGTCGCCGTGTCGTATCTTGCCAGCACCAGCAGGTTCCTTCTCCTGCAGGGGCCTTTTCTGGCCCCCCCCCCCTCTCCGAGCTGAGCTACAATCTCCAACCGCCTCTCAGCTAAGTCCACGTATATCACTTAAGTCTTTTGACAAAGTGGACTGCCACAGGTCTTTAGTGCAGCTCTCCAGCACACTTTCGTCTTGCAACTCAACAAACTCCGCCACATTACTATCCTCCATCTTAGGTATGAGGCGAGTGACGGTCTCGCCTCATGCAGATCGGCATTCAATCCCCGACTGACCCAGTGGTTGGGCACCATTCCTTCCCCGCGTCCCAAATCCTTATTTTGACCCCTTCCCATTGCTATATAGTCATAATATCTTGGCGCTTTCCCCTGATAAATCCTTCCTTCACACACACAAACACACACACTCTCTCTCTCACTCTTTCTCTCTCTCCAACTTGTTAACATTTAACACCAGAAAGTTATTGCTAAATTATTTGGCATCCAAACGATGTTTAGGGAATTTTCACATGAGTGAAGAGAAATTTTGATGTGGCTGTCAGCTGGCTGCCAATCAGGTCTCTCTTCGGGAAGTTTTCCACAGTTGGATATAAGATTTCATGTTATCATGAGGCTCAAGATGGTTGTCAGGCGGCTGTCAGTTAGCTGTCAAGCGGCAGTGAGAGAGACGTCAAGTTGCACGAGGGTCTTGCTGCCCACACACCATTCCATCCTCTCCTTCCAATTTACCATGCCGTCCCCACCTCTCTATCCCGGCGCTCATACCATCCCATGCCCGTCCCACCCTTCCCCACATTAATCTGAGGAGGTGACACCACAAGACAACAGGTCAGACCAAACACTGGTCATGATAGGTGAGTGTGGGAGTATCAGTCAGAGGTGTGAGGAGTGCGGCTGACCTCACCAGCGCCAGGTGAGGGTCGAGACATGAGACGCCTCACTACACACCTCACTCGGCACCTCTCGTCCACACATCCACACAGCTGATTTAATTTATTTGTTTTAAATTTAGATAAATATTAAAATAAACCACAATTTTTTAAAGGAAATATAATGGTTCGTTGCAAATAAGCATTTTTCTTTGCGATTATTGCGTGGGTCACCCCGGGACACCAGCAGGACCCGGGACACCAGCCGGACCTGGGACACCAGCCGGACCTGGGACACCAGCAGGACCTGGGACACCAGCCAGACCTGGGACACCAGCAGGACCTGGGACACCAGCAGGACCTGGGACACCAGCAGGACCTGGGACACCAGCCGGAGCCGGTACTCCAGCCGGAGCCGGTACTCCAGCCGGAGCCGGTACTCCAGCCGGAGCCGGTACTCCAGCCGGAGCCGGTACTCCAGCCGGAGCCGGTACTCCAGCCGGAGCCGGTACTCCAGCCGGAGAAGGTACTCCACCAGCAGCCGCGATGCCAGCAGCAGCCGCGATGCCAGCAGCAGCCGCGATGCCAGCAGCAGCCGCGACGCCAGCAGGAGCCGCGACGCCAGCAGGAGTCGGGACGCCAGCAGGAGTCGGGACGCCAGCAGGAGCCGGGACGCCAGCAGGAGCCGGTACTCCAGCAGGAGCCGCGACGCCAGCAGCAGCCGCGACGCCAGCAGGAGTCGGGACGCCAGGAGGAGTCGGGACGCCAGCAGGAGCCGGTACTCCAGCAGGAGCCGGTACTCCAGCAGGAGCCGGTACTCCAGCAGGAGCCGCGACGCCAGCAGGAGTCGGGACGCCAGCAGGAGCCGGGACGCCAGCAGGAGTCGGGACGCCAGCAGGAGCCGGTACTCCAGCAGGAGCCGCGACGCCAGCAGCAGCCGCGACGCCAGCAGCAGCCGCGACGCCAGCAGGAGTCGGGACGCCAGCAGGAGCCGGTACTCCAGCAGGAGCCGGTACTCCAGCAGGAGCCGCGACGCCAGCAGGAGCCGCGACGCCAGCAGCAGCCGCGACGCCAGCAGGAGCCGGGACTCCAGCAGGAGCCGCGACGCCAGCAGCAGCCGCAGGAGCCGGGACGCCAGCAGGAGCCGGTACTCCAGCAGCAGCCGCGACGCCAGCAGGAGCCGGTACTCCAGCAGCAGCCGCGACGCCAGCAGCAGCCGCAGGAGCCGGTACTCCAGCAGGAGCCGGGGCGCCAGCTCGACCCAGAACACCTGCAGGACCCAGAACACCTGCAGGACCCAGAACACCTGCAAGACCCAGAACATCTGCAAGACCCAGAACACCTGCAGGACCCAGAACACCTGCAGGACCCAGAACACCTGCAAGACCCAGGACTCCTGCAGCACCCGGGACACCCAGGTCCTGTTGGGGAGCGCCACTCCCCACTGGGACCTGCGATCTAATGGATCTACAAGACGGACGATTTAGTATTGAAGCAAAATCTGGGACGCCAGCAGGAGCTGGAACACCAGCAGGAGCCGGAACACCAGCCGGACCCGGTACTCCAGCCGGACCCGGTACTCCAGCCGGACCCGGGACTCCAGCCGGACCCGGGACTCCAGCCGGACCCGGGACACCCAGGTCCTGCTGGGGAGAGCCACTCCCCAGTGGGACCTGGGAACTAATGGATCTACAAGACGGACGATTTAGTATTGAAGCAAAATCTGGGGCGCCAGCAGGAGCCGGAACACCAGCAGGAGCCGGGACTCCAGCAGGAGCCGGCACTCCAGCAGGAGCCGGAACACCAGCAGGAGCCGGAACACCAGCAGGAGCCGGGACTCCAGCAGGAGCCGGGACTCCAACAGGAGCCGGCACTCCAGCAGGAGCCGGCACTCCAGCAGGAGCCGGGACTCTAGTAGGACGCGGAACACCAGCAGGACCTTGGGAACCAGTGGATATACAAGATGGACGATCTAGGATATTAGCAAGACATGGGATAGCAGGAGGAGCTGGGACGCCAGCAGGAGCTGGGACGCCAGCAGGGGCTGGGACGTCCCGGCTGCTTTGCTCAGCAGCGGACGGATGTCCCATTAGCGGACGCCTTGCTGGCGTCCCAGCAGGAGCTGGGACGCCACGAGCGGACCACTGGCCACTGTGTGTGTGTTGGGAGGTACTGTGATGGGCTATTGTTGATGATGATCAATATGACTTTTGTGGTTGGCGTGTGGGTGCTGCTGCTGCATCACACCGTGGCGGCCTTGATAAGGACGACCAGACAGAAGACTGGCAGCCACAGCCTGGTCTACCAGCAGCCCAGCGCCCAGACATCCCACCGCTCCAGTACTTCCTTCACCTCACACTAGGGTTTCTCTTATATTATCTCTCCCCCAGTAAACTTATCCTCTCCAGCGGTCTCTACCACACCAGCCTTATCCTCCCTAAAGGTCTCTACCACACCATCCTTATCCTCCTCAAAGGTCTCTACCACACCAGCCTTATCCTCCCTAAAGGTCTCTACCACACCATCCTTATCCTCCTCAAAGGTCTCTACCACACCATCCTTATCCTCCTCAAAGGTCTCTACCACACCATCCTTATCCTCCTCAAAGGTCTATACCACACCATCCTTATCCTCCTCAAAGGTCTCTACCACACCATCCTTATCCTCCTCAAAGGTTTCTACCACACCATCCTTATCCTCCCCAAAGGTCTCTACCACACCATCCTTATCCTCCTCAAAGGTCTCTACCACACCATCCTTATCCTCCCCAAAGGTCTCTACCGAACCAACCTTATCCTCCCCAGCGGTCTCTATCACACCATCCTTATCCTCACCAGCGGTCTCTACCACACCAACCTTATCCTCCTCAAAGGTCTCTACCACACCATCCTTATCCTCCTCAAAGGTCTCTACCACACCATCCTTATCCTCACCAGCGGTCTCTACCACACCAGCCTTATCCTCCCCAGCGGTCTCTACCACACCATCCTTATCCTCACCAGCGGTCTCTACCACACCAACCTTACCCTCCTCAAAGGTCTCTACCACACCATCCTTATCCTCCCCAAAGGTCTCTACCGAACCAACCTTATCCTCCCCAGCGGTCTCTATCACACCATCCTTATCCTTCCCAGCGGTCTCTACCACACCATCCTTATCCTCACCAACGGTCTCTACCACACCAACCTTATCCTCCTCAAAGGTCTCTACCACACCATCCTTATCCTCTTCAAAGGTCTCTACCACACCATCCTTATCCTCCCCAGCGGTCTCTACCACACCATCCTTATCCTCCCCAGCGATCTCTACCACACCAACCTTATCCTCCCCAAATGTCTCTACCACACCATCCTTATCCTCCCCAGCGGTCTCTACCACACCAGCCTTATCCTCCCCAGCGGTCTCTACCACACCATCCTTATCCTCTCCAGCGGTCTCTACCACACCAGCCTTATCCTCCCCAGCGGTCTCTACCACACCAGCCTTATCCTCTCCAGCGGTCTCTACCACACCAGCCTTATCCTCCCCAGCGGTCTCTACCACACCAGCCTTATCCTCTCCATCGGTCTCTACCACACCAGCCTTATCCTCCCCAGCGGTCTCTACCACACCAGCCTTATCCTCCCCAGCGGTCTCTACCACACCAGCCTTATCCTCTCCAGCGGTCTCTACCACACCAGCCTTATCCTCCCCAGCGGTCTCTACCACACCAGTCTTATCCTCTCCAGCGGTCTCTACCACACCAGCCTTATCCTCCCCAGCGGTCTCTACCACACCAGCCTTATCCTCTCCAGCGGTCTCTACCACACCAACCTTATCCTCCCCAGCGGTCTCTACCACACCAGCCTTATCCTCTCCAGGGGTCTCTACCACACAGGCGTTATCCTCCCCAGCGGTCTCTACCACACAGGCGTTATCCTCCCCAGCGGTCTCTCCCACACCATCCTTATCCTCCCCAGCGGTCTCTACCACACCAGCCTTATCCTCCCCAGCGGTCTCTACCACACCATCCTTATCCTCTCCAGCGGTCTCTACCACACCAGCCTTATCCTCCCCAGCGGTCTCTGCCACACCAGCCTTATCCTCTCCAGCGGTCTCTACCACACCAGCCTTATCCTCCCCAGCGGTCTCTACCACACCAGCCTTATCCTCCCCAGCGGTCTCTACCACACCAGCCTTATCCTCTCCAGCGGTCTCTACCACACCAGCCTTATCCTCCCCAGCGGTCTCTACCACACCAGTCTTATCCTCTCCAGCGGTCTCTACCACACCAGCCTTATCCTCCCCAGCGGTCTCTACCACACCAGCCTTATCCTCTCCAGCGGTCTCTACCACACCAACCTTATCCTCCCCAGCGGTCTCTACCACACCAGCCTTATCCTCTCCAGGGGTCTCTACCACACAGGCGTTATCCTCCCCAGCGGTCTCTACCACACAGGCGTTATCCTCCCCAGCGGTCTCTCCCACACCATCCTTATCCTCCCCAGCGGTCTCTCCTACACCATCCTTATCCTCCCCAGCGGTCTCTACCACACAGGCGTTATCCACACCATTGAGAAACAGTTCTTATGATAACCTCTGCAACCCAGTTTGTTTCCTGCGCGAATATATCCCTGCCAGTCGGCCCGACTTCCCCAAGGACTCCCCACCCGAACACCAGTGGCATTTACCCCAAGAGTCTTCCTCAGCTCATCGTGTGGACTTACCCAAAGAACTTTCTTCCAATTGTTGGCGTGACTTACCTCAACTGCCTTTCCTCTTAAGTCGACCGGACTTGGACCATGAGTCTCCTTCACCTCGACGGCCGGACTTTCCCCAAGAATCCTCCTCCGTTGGACGGCCGGACTTTCCCCAAGAATCCTCCTCCGTTCGAAGGCCGGACTTTCCCCAAGAATCTTCCTCCATTCGACGGCCGGACTTTCCCCAAGAATCTTCCTCCGTTCAACGGCCGGACTTTCCCCAAGAATCTTCCTCCATTCGACGGCCGGAATTTTCCCAAGAATCTTCCTCAGTTCGTCGACCGGAATTTTTCCAAGAATCCTCTTCCGTTGGAGGGCCGGACTTTTCCCAAGAATCTTCCTCCGTTCGACGGCCGGACTTTCCCCAAGAATCTTCCTCCGTTCAACGGCCGGACTTTCCCCAAGAATCTTCCTCCATTCGACGGCCGGAATTTTCCCAAGAATCTTCCTCCGTTCGACGGCCGGACTTTCCCCAAGAATCCTCCTCCGTTCAACGGCCGGACTTTCCCCAAGAATCCTCCTCCATTCGACGGCCGGAATTTCCCCAAGAATCCTCCTCCGTTGGACGGCCGGACTTTTCCCAAGAATCTTCCTCCATTCGACGGCCGGAATTTCCCCAAGAATCTTCCTCCATTCGACGGCCGGAATTTCCCCAAGAATCTTCCTCCATTCGACGGCCGGAATTTTCCCAAGAATCTTCCACCGTTCGACTACCAGACTGGTCCTAAGAATCTTCCTCCGTTCGACTACCGGACTGGTCCCAAGAATCTTCCTCCGTTCGACTACCAGACTGGTCTCAAGAATCTTCCTCCGTTCAACGGTCGGACTGGTCTCAAGAATCTTCCTCCGACTGATGGCCAGATTTATCCTGATTGAAGTGTAAAAGAAAACTGAAATTGTTCCCTTTTTTTAATGTACGGTTCTTGTCTCATAATATTTTTGGTTCCCTTTCGGGGGTTTTTTCCTGAATCTTGGAAGCGGACGTCTTCAGTCGCCATTATTTTTGGTCATACTCAGCAAAAGACGGTCTCAGCATCACGTCCGTTTATCAGCAGACGGTTCCTGTCTTATATCCCAACAACTGGCTATAGTCCTATTTATTTCTTCCTTTGTTGTTTTAGTTTTTTCCCAAAAGCCGGATCCAGTCCTACATAATTTTCGGTCCCTAATATCAACAGCCGGCTCGGCCTACAATATTTGTCTTTGTCTGTTTTAAGATTCCTTATTTATGATAAATATTTTTCAATCTACCACACCAGCCAGGTGCCTTATCCCGATTAAGAGATTAAGGTTTCAAGGTCTAATCGAAGATTGTCCATTTAACATAAGAATAAAGTAAAATTCAGAAGATCTAATAATATATGAACAAAAGAATTATTGACACTGCTGATGGTGTATTGACCCATACACACGCACCATCTCCTTTTTCCATCGACCCACATTATGGTTTGTTTCACACATTGTGATGATGCTCCGTCCTATATCTTCTTTACTCCGGCGTAAAGAGTCATATCTCTGCATCCCACACGTTCTTGGATGGTCAGGGAACATTTTGGTATATATAAAGGTATTCAGAGTTATCGTGAAGGAGGTGAATTTCCTGATTTAGTTTTGTCCCTACAGGTGGCTTACGCCCTTTAGTATCGCAAGATGGCGACGGGGAGAGGATGTTCTCGCCAAAGAAGCTTGATGCCAGCCGTCTGGTGATTGGCCAGGTAAGATCAAGTGATGGAAGTGACCAATAGCGTGGCGCCCTTGGGTGGTGTGACATCACAGGGTGGAGCGGTCGGGTCTCCTTATCTGGTGTCTGGTGCCCTTTGAGCTCAGTGTGTCACCACATGTCATTGAGCATGGACATGCTCAGGTGAGCTCTCAGTTTGGAGGCTAGGAAGCCCCAGCCAGTGGACTCAAGCGGCCGCATTGATACTACAGACGTCGAGAAAGATTAGACAACTCCTGGGGAGTGCATGGAAGCAAGGCTTAGCTGGTGTTAAAGCGCCAAGAGTTCTTATGCTGATAATATACGACGAAGGTGGGCTGTTGGCGCTTGGAGGGTCGTGTATGACACCCTGCGGGCAGCTTTCTGACACATCAAGCGTGCTGCTGTGACCGAGCTACTGTTACTAGGTCAAGTCCACTGGAAGGATGAGAAGGGGGACACTGAACCAAACTGCAAGTTTGTCTACAGTTCCAGTGTGAGAGAAGGGAGACAACGTGCATAGGGATCTGCCTTTAGTGCTAAGAAGGAGGACCTGCCTTTCAGGAATGATGAGAGAGACCCCCTGTGAAGGGAGAAATAGAAGTGCTATTGAGAGAGACTCTTATGTAGGGAGAAATAGCAGTGTTAAATGGTAAACATACAGTCTGGAACTCTGATTCCTTTCAGATGCACAGAGCATCATCTCAACAGGAAAATGTAATCTCCTAAAATGAAAACCCAATGTAAACAAAAGGGATAAAATGGTTAAGAAAAAGCAGATTCAATGCAAGAAAATATAGAGAAACAACAGTGTTAAATGTAGAAAAACAGCCTGGAATATTATAAGACATATATATGAAGTATTGGGAAATGTGTATGACATGTATAGGGAGGGGACATTATTGGAACCAGGCAGGCAGGGACATGTGCAAGCCCCTATCAGTCACTTGGGAGAGAGAGGCAGTGAGAACCACACCAGTGTTGTGGATGGTCTCCAACAAATACAATAAGCGCAGTATTATAGATGTTTATAGTGGTGCTTTCCCCTTTTTTATGAGCTAGAGATAGGAATTTGTGGAAATAAGTATTTTTGGAACCCTGTGTGTAGGGAGAGTGGTGTGTTGTTAATTCAGGTGTATGTGCTCAGCTGTGTGTCACATGGGGGGTTATCCACATTTATTTTGTATATCCATTTGTAAACCCAGGCCCTTTGTAGTGACCAAAGAGGAGTGGAATAGAGTAATGACCTTAAGTCCCAGGTTGTAGAGGGAGAAGGAACATCTCCCTCCCCCTTTTTGTTTGTATCAATCCTATGGTGGATCCAAGTACACCCTCCCCCCCCCCCCCTGTTCTAAGAAGTGTGAGGAAATCTGGTGTTTGTTAAATAAAATCCTTTTGTAAAATTGTACTCCAAGGTGTATTTCTTGTCCCATGTAGTTAGAACTGGTGACTATTACTATATAGACCCCTGCACTTCCATTATTTATAAGTAAGAGCGGGTGTTGTTAGTGGTACTTTACGGTACGGCTTCCAATCTCGTACCTTACAGTGAGCATGAAGAGAATGCGCAACTACAAGTCATCTAAAGACCTTGTGTGTACTCGACTTTGATCAATGGAGGACCGACCACGGGGACAGAGGACCTCAACGATCATCGCCAGAGGATATGGCCACTTTGTAGCAGAGAGAATTAAGGCAGATATATTCCCTCCCTTTATCCCTTGATCTAGGTGAGCTAGAGTATCATTTATGCTATGTGACTGTTATCTTTATTATTATTGCCAGTGAGATAGGATTAGGCTATGTGCCAGGATATATATATATATATATACATGATAATGTATATTATCCATTGGAGAGTTTCAGCGCCGTGGAGATGGGGGGAGCTGTTGCCTGGGTAACAGCTTCTCCTCCGAATCAACCTACCCTGGCTCTTTGCCCTGGTGAGGCCACTCCAGCCCGACAACCAGAGCGCAACTCTATAGTCTCCTGAGACTGATGGATGCCTACTACTAGTAGTAGGCATCCATCACTACTACTACTAGTAGTTTACACTACTCACTAGTGTATTCCCAGGTGTGCAATTACTCAATAGCCTAGAGATGGAGGATGATAATGTAGCTAAGTTTGTGGAGTCGAGGGACGCGGGGGTGCTGGAAGAGTGCACCAAGACCCAGCTGCAACTAGTGGAGAACCACTTGGGGTGGAAGATGCTATCTTCCACCCCAAGGTGGAAGATAGCATCCCCACCACAGTACAGTACTGCAAGGTGCAACAAAGAGTGTCCAATCAGCAAAGTCTAAAGGTAATACGACTTTACCTACTGCCCAAATTACCATCCAGAATAAGAGGGCCAAGGTCCATACCCGTGGGTTGTTTGACCAAGGGTCCCAGAGAACATATGTCAATAAAAAGTTGGCAGATGAATTACAACTAAAGCCTGAAGCCCTGACGACAATCAACATCTCAGGGTTTATAACAGATGCAGAACCTCAAGTCTACCAGGTGGTACAACCATCAATACGTTTAGGCAGGTACGTCTGTCAAGTACAAGCCATTGTGGTGGACAAAATACCAGTAGACCTACAAGTTCAAGGTCTGAGAGCAACAGCCAAATTCCTGAGAAATAGAGGAATAAAATTGGCAGATAATATTAAGTCTGATCACCTCACCGACTTCGATCTCCTTGTAGGAACAGACTACTATCTGTATCGAACAGAATCGATTCATCGATTCATCGGTAGCCCTACTAAATGTCAGGGCATAACCATGCTAAATTCTGCAGTAGGCAAATTACTCTCAGGTCCAGTATCAAGCCTGAGGAGACCTATGGCTGCAGATAAACAATACTAGTAGAAATCTAAATTTGTCAGCTGATTATATTTCTCCAGTAGCATTATACTAAGGAGATTACAGCTGACTATAGCAACAGAGTTTGATGTTAATATCATCACTAAAAGCTGAAGATGAGTTCATGAGGCCTCAGTGGCAAATCAGTGAACAGTAGCCTAAACAGCTACAAGTCACTGCGACCAATGTCACTGAACCCACTGCAGTCTCAGAACCATTCTTTACTTTAATGATGAGCTATTCAATCTTCTGAATCAATTAACTAAATTAAACCCTAATAAATCTGATGACTGATTTGATACATTTATTATTTAATCAAGATGTATTCCATGGGCTTCAGTGTTTATATATCAGTGACCAGTTACCTGAACAAGCTTCAAGTTATATCTAATGTCACTGATCTCACTGCAGTCCCTGAATCATACTTGACTGTAGTACTTGATCACATTCAGTCCTCTGGGTTAAATAATATGTAATTAGGCTTGAATTATAGCCTTTCAAGAGTTAACAGAGAAATGAAATCGCATTAGACTTCTAACCCCTGCAACTCGAGTACAGGACATCCGTCCTGTATGAACAGACGCACAAATGTGTGATTACTAACTACTAACATCAAATTAATCTAATAATTCGAAGGAGGAGTATCGGTGTTCGTCTGTTCTAAATAGGACTTCGACCCGTGAGCAGCCCCCCCAGGGAATTATGTAGGAAAAAACGACACCATTTAATAATATTACATGCAATTGCAGATAATATTGCTGCCGTTGTATACACAAGTTAACCCATAGAAAATGTAGCTTGTAGTGGAATTTTCCGTCAATAGAAAACGGGATATCATTGCCACATACTATTATAAATTCACCAGCTATTCTGCTGGGAATTATTCTTAAATACATTAGTCTTTGGACTTTACCATCATAAAAACATCTCATTTGAATTAACTTAATTATCAGTATCAAAATAAAGTAAATGTGACCCTTCTATCAGTTACTGATATCTGGACAAAGTAGGCCAGGCGTCAGTGAGGAAGGAGTGGTCAGCCATTGTTGTTAAGACCAGAGTCGTGGGGCATATTACAGCTCCTATAAATTCTCTTGGACGAAGTGTTATGGAAGTTCAGAGTAGTGATTTGCCATCATCAACATGCTGTCATCAACCACAGATGAAGTGTTATTCCGAAACCCGTTTATCTAATCATTTTTGGTCATTAATGTTAGTTGGATATTGGGCGAACCGGTGAGAACACAAAGGATCGACTGAAAAAAGGTAATTAAGCCTTGGTTCTTATCTGAATCATTATACAGTGTTTTCTCTGATATAGCTGTCA